GCCTGAGGCAGAATTCAGACCTCAGACCCGGGTGGAGAGAGCCCAGGACCCTGACTCCAAGAGCCTTCCAACCCGGTGTCCTTGGGCCATCTTCCTGGGAAGCAGCCTCTGTGGAGATGCAGCCTGGACCTGCTTCCACAAGGGCTGCAGCCCCAGCTCCTGAAGACGCAGAGAAGAAAGCCCTTGGCCCCAAAGTCCTTGGCCCTGGCTCAACATTGGGAACAAATAGGATTTTATCAGTGGCCATGGCATTGAAAAAGAGATCTGGCCACCTCCTTTGCCTTTGCCCCATGAGACTCTTTCATTTGCCTTGTGGCTGAAACCTGACGTTTTCTCTCCAAAAAGGATGTGAGCTCCCCAGGGGCAGGGATTGTCTGATTTGTCTGTATCCCCAGTGCCTAGTACGGTGCTTTGTACACAGTGAGTGCTTAAAAAGGGCTTCCTTCATTCATCCGGGCCAGCCTCTTCTTTTAACAGGCTCCGAGTGGGCTAAATGACTTTTCCAAGGCTTTGTGGGTAGTAAGGAGCAGAAGTGAGATTCAGACTCAGGCCCTCCGATTCTGAATCCAGTGGGTTTTTTCACTGCATAGAAATGATTCATTGAGCTGGCAGTGCCGCCATTCTTGCCCATGAAGACAAATTGTGAGCTGAAAACGGTAAATTCGAACTCAAGGAACAGTTCACATTCAAGTTATAACATGCTGTTTTAGAAAGAAAAGTTTCTTTGTTCTGTAGGAAATGATAGGGCTTCACCTTCAGAGCTGCTGTTTATTCTTCTGAGAAATCTCTGTTTTTAATGGTCTCTTGTCTCTATAGGAAAAGGGCAGATTGTATGTGCAAGGCAAAGAGGGAGGATGGCGGGGCAGCCTGGACCTCTGGTCCTGATGTCATCTCTGTGCTGCTGGTGCAAAGCAGAGTTAAAGGACAGAGCTGGGGCAGACCTCAGCAGCTCATCTGCCTTTCCCTCTGCCCTTGCCCAATATAGTTGGTGAGAGCCACCAACTATATTGCTAGAAAGAGAAGAAGCTGCTGGTTCCATTTTTGTCTTTGTATCTTCAGTAGGTGCTTAATAGTTGCTTGTCAGTTGATTGGTTGATTGTTATCATATCTCACATTCTCAAGGCTGCAAGCCTAATAATAATGATGACATGATGATGATGATGACAAAGATGATAATGATGACTCAATCATCAGTCATTTGTTTAAGAGCCTTTTAAGTGTAAGGCTAGATGCTGGGATACAAATACAAACCTCCTTAGAAAAGCTTACATTTTATTGAAAGAAACAGCCTGCCCAAAGGTGATCATTCAGTCATTTCAGTCACGTCTGACTCTCTGTGTCCCCATTTGGGATTTTCTTGGCAGAGATGCTGGAGCAGTTTGCCATTTCCTTCTCCAGCTCATTTTACAGATGAGGAAACTGAGGCAAACAGGGTGAAGTGACTTGTCCAGGGTCACCCAGCTAGGAGGTGTCTGAGGCTGGATTTGAACTCAGGTAGATGGGTCTTCCAGACTCCAAGCCTGGCACTCTATCCCCTGCTTCACCTAGCTGCCCCCATCCAAAGATGCTAGATGGAATATGATGCAGGAAGAAGAAAAAGTAGCCCAGTGTGGCTGGAAGAGAGTGTGTCAGGGTAATTACCCTGAAGGTAAGCTGGAGTCAGATTGCGAATGTGTAGGTGCCTTGAATCCATGCCACAGAAGGACTGGTTGAAGAATCTGCAGTACTTGGTTCCCAAATAAGAAGACACAGAAGCAACACACCACCTGTCTACAGCTACTTATAAAATTGCCATGTAGCAGAGTAGCCTCAGAGGGAGGAACCAGGAGCAGCAGGGGGTGATGCCAACGAAGCCTGTTTGAGTTTGAAGTCGGGAGAAAGTCCTCACCCTTTAGTTGTCCCCAAGAAGAATGAGCTGCCTGCCCCCAGAGCTGGTGAGCCCTGCTCTTCGAGGTCCTGCAGCTGGGTCTGGATAAGCCCCTGTTGCTAATATTCTAATAGGGGCAGATGTTCTTTTTCGAGTGTTATTGGATTAGATCGTTGCCAAGGTCGCTGCCAACCCTGAGATTCTGGGACTCTGTGAATGTGTAATTCAAATTTTTTTTATCTTTAGTCATTTTTCTTCATTAGCTCTTGTCAACATAAAAACAACAAAAGTGCTTACTTTCTTTTTTGCTGATCCTAGAGTTTCTCCTCTTCATGTCTTTACTCTCACCCAGTGCAATAGCACCTGGGGCTTTTCTCAGTGTGTTAAGGTTTCGAACAGTTCTGTATGGTCCTAAAGGGAGCTTTGGGCTGTGTATGTGAGCACATGTGTGTGTGTGTGCGTGCGTGCACACACACACACACACACGCACACCCTGGTCAGCCCACAATTTAAGCCAGGTGCCCAGTTTCCATCTGGACTCCTGACAGCCCAGGCAGTCAGCCTTTAGAAATCAGAAACCTTGGGAAAGGTGCAACGTGATGGACACCGGCAGTCCAAAGACCACGTATGTTCTCACCATCACTTAACACGCAGTGCAGGAAATCCCTGCTCTCTGCTGCAGAACAGGGCTGAGCTATCCCTCGTCCTCCTGGGGAGTAATGCTGGCTTTCCTCTGTGCTAAGCCTTGAAGTGTTCTGGCAGACTTTCCCCCCAACTAGCAAATTGGTAATGACGCACCATTCCTTCCATCCTCCCCCCAACAATACCTTATCAAACTGCTCCCCTTAAACACACACAGTTTTCCTGATCCCCATTGGTTTAACAGCTGCCCTCGACATGGGCGGGCACAGACTATAGTGGGTGTAGTGTTTTTGTAGAGTTAGCAGGCATGGGTTCAAATTCTGACCCTGATACTTGCTAGTCATGTGACTTCAGGCCAAGCACTTAATTCCTCTGAGCCTGAGTGTGCGTGTGAGAGAGAGAGAGAGAGAGAGAGAAAGAGGAGAGAGGAACAGGAGGAGGAAGAAGAAGAGAGAGAGAAGAAGGAGGAGGAGGAAGAGGAGAGAGAGAGACAGAGAGAGAGAGAGAAGGTTGGATAAGAGTTTCTCTGTCTGCCCCTCCACTTCTGTGTAGCCTCTCCTAGTTCTAAATCTGTTTGCTAAAACTAGTTCTGAACCACTTGGGTATCCTTGACCTGCTGGGCAGTTGATCTGGTGAAGCTTAAGGACCCTTCTCAGAAGAATAATCTTAAAAGCATAAAATAAAATATACCCAGAGAAAACACAAAGGAAACAAATTATAGTGAAACAGTCATCAAAATCATTTTTAGAAAACCAAGTTCATAGACCCAGGTTAAGGAGACCGATTAGAACTAAAAGGAACATAAGACTCTTTTTAACCTTTTTGAAAGGATCATCGTTTTGCAGATCAAGGATCAAAGATACAACCTTGGAGGTCAGAGGCTGATAGGAGTACAAGTCATAGATTTAGGGCTGGCAGTGAACTAACTCAGGGGCTGTCTTAGCAACATGCTTCATTTTACATATGGGGAAACTGAGGCCCAGGGAAGTGAAATGACCTCTCCAAGGCCATGCACGTAATGAGTTGCAGAATGAAGATTTGAACCAAGGCCCCAGAGCTAACTCTTTTTCCGTTGTATTATAGTATCCTTGTTAACAAAAGCTTGATCTTTCCTTGTTTACATGTTGTCTGACACTTAGCCCATTGCCTGGCACCTTAATAAATTGCTTGTTGATGTGACTTGTTTTCTGGATTTAAAAAAATGACAATAATAATCAATTTTCAGCCCTAAGATATTCTTTAGAATGTCTCTGCCTACTCGGCCTCAGTGAAAACAAAATCTCTTTTCTCCAATACTTTCATTCCAGGCAGAATGTAGCTTCATCAAATACACTCCCCAGACTTTATCATGCTTGGGGATTCTCACTTTAATCCTCCAAATATCCAAATTTCTCTCCATGTGGGTTTGGTACCCAGTGTTTGCTGCTTACCACCCTTTTCTAGCTTTGCAGATAATCTTTGAGGTTTCCTGAGCCTGCTCTGGCCTCTCTGTGATCTCAGGACCTACCTAACCAAATTCAGCCATAGGGACCATGAGAAAACACATCCTCGAAGCATTCCTGGCTTGGCAGAAGCTTGTGCTCCATCAGCATGGCCCCAGAGAGCCCAGGGTCACCTCCCCATCATCAAGAGGTGTCATAGGGAGGATGTTTAAGATAAATTTAAAAGTTCTTTGCATATGAAGGGGACCGCATAACACAATGAAAAGTGCACTCCATTTGTAGTCAGGTCCCAACTCTGTCACTTAGCTCAGAATTAGCAAGTTCATTCATTTCTCTTGGCCTCAGTTTCCTCATTTGTAAAGTGATCAGACTAATTGATCTCAGAGGTTCCTTCCAGATCTAGATCTCTATGGGATGAGGGCTATAAGTGACCCAGATCTTTGCAGTTGTAAAGCTAAAAGGGGTGGCTGGATCTTTGTAGATCTTAGACAGTGCCCACGCCTCCTATTATGTCTCCATCATCCACTCTCCCTAGGCTTTTGGGCTCATTACATAACCATGCCATCCTGTGTCCCAGACAGGTGTCAATTTCATGAAGCACCGTTTGTGCTCTCTGCGGCCTGGACAGAACCACGAAAAAGCCAGCGTGCTTGTCATCCAAAGCTGGCTGCAGGTTCGATGGATTGGCCGACCCATTAAATCTTAGAACTGGGAGCTGGCCACAAAAAACTCGCTTTCCGACATGGTATTTATCACGTCGAGTCAGAGACGTGTGTACGAGATGTCTCTAATGTAAATCTCACGTCAGTATGGCAGCAAAGCAAAACAAACTTCCAGGTATTTTCATGTTTCCTGCTGTCAATGAAACCAGTTGTATTTTATTCTGTCCCAATGGGTAGTGCTACCAAGATGTATTGGCTCAAGTTTTGCCAGGGGCCAATAATTCTCTGCCTGGGGGGACACTGTGAGATTCCTAATTTTGAACTTGAGACTATGAACACAGAATGAAATATTGACTTCCCTCCCTCTTCCCCTCCTTCTCTGGGCAGGCTATCCCAATGCACAATGCAGTTGGCGGAGCGATGCCAGGGCCTCATCAGCTGGGCACCACGCGGATGCCCAACCATGACACCAGCGTTGTGATTCAACAGGCCATGCCCTCCCCCCAGTCCAGCTCTGTGATCACGCAGGCACCTTCCACAAACCGTCAGATCGGGTAAGGAGAGATTGGAGGTTGACTCCACATGGGTCTTCATGTTGATTTTATGCAGGGCCTTGATTGGGGTAAATCCTTAGGGGATTCTTTGCCCACCTCCCAAGGCAGGCCCTGACTGAAGCTTTGATCTATCCTGGGGGAGAGGTAAAGCTGCTTTGATCACAGGGAGATATTGCCAAGCAGGGGACTGATAATAAAGCAATACTTTTTGTCAATGTCGTATGTATTCCTGGATTTTATAAGAAATTAGCCTGGTGTACTATTTCTCTGGGATTACAGAGAAATTTACAGAGGCCAGAGAGTCAGCATTCCAGACAACTGCATATTGGTGGTACAATAATGCACCTGTACAACCCTCCTACTCACATCCAGTGCCCCTTAGGGAGGCCCCTGGGATCCTTTGTTCCCTGGTCTTCTGCCATTGTTAAGGTTTCCTTATCTCATAGCTCTCCTGAGAACCTGATCCTTTGAGAAAGGGACAGAGACAGAGAGAGAAAGAAAAGATCACTTAACTTTTTCCACAGCCTGGGAATCCTGAAACACTTTTAAAAAATTAGTATAAGGGTGATGCAGAGCTTGGAGCCTCATGAGACTCAATGAGCTTTGAGGTCCATTGACCTGTAAGATGTGAAGGAAATGGGGCCATTGTGAAGGGATTGGGCTAAGAAAACCTAATGGGGATCCATGTTCCCAACTGAAGCTATACCAGGCGGATGATCTAGGGGAATGACTAAACTTGCTGGCCTGGGATGGAGAAGACCTAGACTCCAGTCCCAGCTTTCCCATTGACTTGCCATAATTGTGTTGTGTTGTATTGTGTTGCGTTGTGTGGTTTGTGGCGTCTCACCCCTTGGAATCACAATTCATGAAGGAAGACAGGTGGGATGGTGGGCGTGACTATGGACTCAAAGCCATGCAGCCCATTGTGCTCTCTGCCCTTATCCTGACTCTTGGCCCCTCCCAAGGCCTCTGCATCCTTTTTACCTCTGGACCTACCCACCCTGTTGTCCTGGGTGTTGACCACCCCCCAGGGCCCATACACCCTTACTCCTCAGCTGACCTGCAGTCCTTGCCATATGACTTCTAACTAGTCAATTTAATCTCTTATTGACTCAATTTTTCATTCTGTAGAGTGGGAATAATAATCTTGTCTTTCCTATCTTACTTGGATAGGAACATAAACAAATGAAGAGTTTGGGAGTTGTGGGTTAAGAGATTTAAATGCCCTTGAGTTTTTGTTTGGTTTTGTATTAGATTTTGCTTTGTATGTATGATAAGGCCAGGAGTACAAACGTTTCCCTCCCCTGCTTAGCACCTCAGGGTCATAATCTCCTCCATTCCATCTGGGTTCAGGGGGAAAGGGAGTTCAGACTTCATAAAGTTTCTACATAGCACTGGTACCTCTTGAATGCTGAGGAAGTAAAACATACACACACACACACACACACACACACACACACACAAAATCCCAAGCCTGGCAATTTACTTGTATTACCACGTATGGAGAATGAATGAATGTTATTTCCCAGAACCCTCCGGGTAAGATAGTGAAAGACAGACTGGTATTATGGGGCTGTGCCAGACCAGGCAGGTTTGCTCAATAGGGGCAGGGGCTGCTGCCACCCCATTTCCCAGTGCCCTGTCTCTTCCTCATCTCTAGAAGTTTTTAGGGTACCTCCTCCACATGGGGGGACAACCCCCGAATTTCTCTTTAACAGAAGCCCATCCTGCCCTTGTCCTTGGCATCTCTCAGCCTGTACAAATACGTTGTGACTCGTGAGGGAAGGCTTACCATAACAAACCAAAGCACCATAGTTAATGACTACCCACCCATTGGCCATGGGTACCCTGGAGTTTCCATTCAGGATTCAGAAAATGAGACCGTCCAGCTGAATGCCTGGCTTTGTTTGGAGAGGCCACGAGGCCGAATGAGCAAATGCTTCTCCCGTTAAAGATGTCTTTTCTCCCATAAAAGCTTTGGGAGCCAAGGCAGGAACCTGTAATCCTCCCAGGGTGGGGTGGGCTCGTTAAAGACAAGCAAACGCCTCCATCTCGAGTGACTGTTTCCCTGTAGTGGCTGGGCCCATGGAGAAACAAGTCAGAGTTATGTCGGGTAATTATAATTATTTTATTTTTCCTTCCCGGGGGGGGGGGGGAAGAAAAGAAACGTAAATTGTGCTGGAGTTTACAAGCAATTTTAGTGACATTCTTTGGCCCCACCCCCCAGGTCTCCTGCTTCACACCCCCAACAGCCGGGAGAGCCAGCCCCTTAGCTATTGTTCCTGTCTAGCTAGGACGGATCCACTCGGGTCAGGTTAACCGTAGGCTCACTCTTTCAAAGGCCTGTGGCCGGCTCAGCAGTGGATGGGGACACTGTTGGGAGCAGGGCCCTCTGAGGCCAAGCCTGGAGGTCTGCTGTTTACAGGTCTATGGGAGGCGTTCGTAAGCCTCTTCTCCATCCGTGAGTGGGCTTGTCCCTGAGATTGCATGACCTCCTGACCAGGCCCATCCTACAGTCTGTCCCTAGTCCTGGGATGTTGTGTTTCTTCCCTGGTGTGTTCTTGGAGATAATTGCTGCTTTGGGGATTCTGTCTCCCTGCCAAGGCTGGCTGATGGAGTTCCTTCTTTCTTCAGGCCGTACCCTTCGGAGCTACGGTGAAGATTCCAAGGGACACTCTCTGTTGTTACGCTTTATCTGTGCTTGACCCGTCTCCAAACATGGTCGAAGTGGCCACTGGGGCTCAGTGAGAAGTAACTCCTTTCACCAGTGGATTCAATATTGAGATCTAGGTGGTTTGGGAGAAAAAAAAAAACACGGGGATGACTTTCCCTTCTTTATTTCCCCCAGCAAAAAGGAAATGAGCACTTATTTTAAAACACGAGTTTCCTCTGGAGACTGTGTCTTTAAATGAGCATTTGAAACTGCAGATAGCTTTCTTATTTTATTTTTTTTTTGTAAGACTGCACAGAACCCATATTGTAGTAATATTCTGATTTTTATCACAACCTCAAATATTCAAGTGTCAAAATCTGGCCAAGCCACCTGCAAATGTTTGCAATGGCGACCAGCCAACAAAAACAGCAAACAGCAATGAAAGTCTCTATTCAGGCCCAGGACTTGGAGCTGCGATCTAGCCACAGAGCCTGGCATCCACCTGTGCCCACGCACAGCTCCCTGCTGCAGCCGAGGGGCGTGGGCCCAGCTGGGATTCAGGGCCAGGGCTTGTCTCCCCTTGTTCTGCCCCTCCTGGGCGCCCCCCGGGTCTTCTGCCAACCCTCTGCCTTCGGTGTCTCCCCTGTTCCGCCATGTCTTCCCTTCTCTATGAGGGCTCCGGGAGGCTTGAAAGGCCTGGAAAGTGTGACAGGATGCCGGTCCGTAGGGGAGGCTTCCCGGGACAGTACAGAGACGTTGCTCACAGGACTCAGATGAGCATGGCTACCGAGCGGGCCCTGAGCCAGACCAGCCCCAAATGAGGGGTGAAAGGCAGAAAGCCATAGCGCTAATAGTCAGAGAAGCCTGGGGGGCCTGGCTCGCGCCCATCCCTTCTCTAGCCCTCCGTCCTCCTCTCTGGGCCCGGGTAGAGCAAGCGGTGATATTCTCACTGACACAAACTTGCAGGCTAGTATAAATATCCTAGCTGTACTTATGTGGTTAGGCAGTCTAGAATAAGACTGAGAAATAGCTCTGGAGTGTGGGAGGCATCCTCCAACTAGTAAGTACTTGTACTCCCTCCGGTGCCAGGAAGGGCGCCTTTGGCTGATTGATGGCACAGGTTTGGGAGGGTGGTGCCACAGATGGAAAAAAGAAGGGAGCCCATGAGCCGGGGGGTGGGTGGGGGGAGAAAAGTGGGCTGGAAGGAGGGTATTTCTTAAAAACACATGAGAAGTAAATGAATGAATGAATAAAAGGAAAGGAAAAAAAAAGCAGAGAATAAAATAATAAATAATAAAATAAAACAAAACCAAAACATGTGAGACCAAGTCAGCTCTAAACCAGAATGGAGTTTGAGGACCTGAGTTCAGATGTTGGCTTTGCCACCTACTACCTGTGTGATCTAGGGTAACTGAACCCCTGGCTCATGGTGCAGATCAGTTCAGAGAAGGCATGGAAGGATGACAGAGGAGTAACTTATTTTTCTCTCTCTCTTACCTGGTAGCTAGTGCTCAGGCAAGTTAGTGGTTATAATAACGATAACAATAAAAATAATAACATTTAATAATATTATTACATTCATTATAATATATATCCTATAATAGCATATATGATTATATAAGTATATAATTATGTTAATTATATCACATGTTATATTTGCATACACATATAACCTTTTATTATATAATGTATGAACTAATATGAATATATATTTATATTATGTATAATAATTTGATGGTATTATTATAAAATAATAATAATTTTAGCTAAAATTTATATAGCACCGATTATATGTTATAATATATTATATGTTATACTATGCTAAGCAGATGCTTTACAAATATTATCTCACTTGATCTTCATAACAGTCCTGGAAGATAGGTGCCATTCTTATCCCCCTTTTACAGATGAGGAAACTGAGGCAAGTAGAGATTAAGTGATTTGCCCAGTGTAACACAAGTCTTCCTCACTCCAGGCCCAGCACTCTATCTAATTGCACCGCCTACCTGTCTCCAAATGTCAAAATACAGCGATCGGATGCTTATGTTTTTCTAGTGGCCGCTGGGCAATTGATTGATAATTGGGCTGCTTATAAGGTGAATTGTTTTCATATGGTCCCCTGGCTCCCCCCAATCATAGTAGTGAATGGTCAGTTGGATTGGTAGCCACGTCAGAATAGGAGGCTCAGACACCTAATTTGGCCTCGTCACTTAGATGATTAGCTGCTAGCAGCCTCCCTCTCCCATGACCATATGGCTCTTATTTGTTCTCCTGGTTTATGGTTGGTTATGTAGGGGGCAGCAAGTGTCCAGAGAGGTGGCCTTGCTGCTTTTGCCTGGTACTTGCT